ATGAAGGCTTTTCACACTGTCTTCTTTCATTTAACAATATACATATGCATTTAAGGTTCTTCCAAGTCTTTTTATGGCTGGATAGCTCAATTCTTTTGGGCACTGAATAATATTCCATTTTATGAATATACCACAGTTTATCCATTCACCTACTGAAGGACATCTCAGTTCCAAGTTTGAGCAATTATGAATAAAGCTGTTAGAAACATCCATATGCTAATTTTTGTGTAAGTTTTCAAGAGCACAAGAAATGTAGCTCCAAATGGGAATAAGTAAACAAGAAAATAAAACCTTTTTCCAACCTAAGAAACCAAGCTCCTTAATACTAAATTTCTTTAATTCTAATTTCCTCCATATTTTAAGATATCACTAATCGGGATATATATTCAATATAATAGTCTCTCATTATTTTCCTAAAAAGATATTTTAATGAGCTATCCAATATTAAGCGATGGCTTGGAAACATGGTATATTTGTAAATAAGCTGAATTTATAAATGGTATATAAATATGGTGTATAAATAAGCCAAATTTTCATGGTAGTAATTATTATTAAACATAAGTGACAATCATATTCCATTTCATATTAGTAGTTTTTCGTTAAATTTTCTACCTATGTTTATTAAATACCTTATTACATACCAAGCACTGTGGTTGGTGCTAAGGGTAAAATGGTGAGCAAAACAGACTGGCGTTTTAGTAAAGTTTACCTTAGTAAAGTTTATTACTTTGTGCATACTGGAGTGAAACTCTGAAAAGGTAGCACAGCAACTATGTCAACGTGGAAACAGAAACTGGAACAATGCATATTCTAAAGTACAGACAAACACTTCAAACAATAAGGACATAATAGAATTTCAAATAATGCTTTCTTTAAAACAATTTAGGTAAAGGTTTTTTTGCACATTAAGATATATTCACATAGATTTTCCTCTATCATGAGCTAATGAGAACATACAATATACACTTGAGATGAAGTTCATCATTAATGATAATAAATAGTGACCGAGACACTCTCTTTTATGAAACTTTAGTTAAGCTCCTCTGAGTCCTCTTCTCAGTTAGGCTTTGACCTTATCCTTCTGTATCCATCCTGTCCTTGCTCTGCCTTCATGGCCCAGTCTTAGCAAGAATCCCCCAAACTTGTGGCTGGCATCTGAAGTGAGGACAGTCTTGTGGGGTAAGGGGTTCATGGGAATCCCTTGGATTTACAACTAGTAGGTCAGAACTGTGGGTGACCTGGGGACCCTAAAATTTGTAGCTGACAACTAAAGTGAGGACAATCTTATTGCAGACTGTGACCTTAAACCTGTGGAGTTTGACATTAACTCTGGTGGTTAGCATCAGAATTAGATTACCATATACTGCAACATGTAAGACAAACTTTCTGCCTTCAAGAAGTTATTATGTTTATCTGTAGGTCCACTCAAGTCCATAGACAACCCATCACTCCTAAAAGAGACTAGTCAGCCACACAGGATGCTGAGCCCTAAAGAAATGAGTGAAGTTTTGATTTTGACTTATTATGCATTTTAAAATATCGCCATTGAAATCTTTTGTTTTGGCACATTTCTGGAGACAGAATAAACTGAACACACACAGAACAGTTAAGCTTCTGGAACAAATATGTGAAATGGGTATACAGTTAAGACAGAATTCACATTTATCAAAATGAAAATGGAATAATTTCTATGGTGTTTTAAAAACTTAAAACAGGCTTCCTTATGTGAAAAACACTATGAAAAAAGGGAGAGGAGGAAAAATGCAGGGGATAAAATGAAAATAATACCATTACCACTCTTCTCCCTCCTATCTCCACTTAACATATTACGAAGATCTTTCCAGATCAATAAACATCATCAAATATTAAAGGGATATCAAAATATTTCATCACTGAGGTCACTCATAAGTAGTCCCCTACAGCTGAATTTATTTCCAATTTTCTGCTATAAAAAATAATGCTGTAATGAACAATCTTGTAACTAATGCTTTTCATGAAACTATTATTTCTATAGTATAAATTGCTCAAAGTATAATTTCTAGGCCCAACGATATCTTCTTTTTAATATCAATTTACCCCCCTGCCAGTTTTGTGTATGAGAGTACTTGTTTTCTACACTTGACAGACTGGGAAAGCTCTTACCTTTGCCAATGTAACAAGCCAAATCATGTTCTCAGTGTTGTTTTAAAATGAACTTATTCAATTTCTTAAGAACATCTTTTTTTTAACATTTTTTGACAACTTTTTTCTTCCACTAACACCTTTTTGTTCATGCCTGTTGCCCACTTTGCTCTGGGGCATTCATCTGTTTCTCACTAATTTATAAGAGTATTTATATGTAAAGGGATTAATAAGCCTTTTTCACATACATCCACATGCATTCCTAGCTGGTCGAGGAGCAATTTAGGTCATTGTAAATAATACAATGTCTCTTTAGGAGTTTTATAAATTGGTCATGCACACACAAAAAACATTGGCTATATTATTTTAGGTTAAATTTTTACTAAATGATTAAACCACAGAACAATCGAGAGCTAAGAAAGGCAACTACTCACATACTCGTCAATATAAAATAACCTATTAAATACTAAAAGAAAGTTTTCTATTCCCAAACTATATACATTTTAAATGCTGGAAAAAGCATACTTATCCATTGCAACATAGGGATTTGGGATTTAACTTTATGGTTACTATCATTACTCTGAAAATCTGCATACAAATTCAAGCTTTTATCTTTTTTCTAGAAATGTAAACTTACAAAAGTAAATGTATAAAGAACGGCAGAAGGAGATGGTAAACTTATGTAAAGCCAAAATGGGAGGGGAAAAAGGTAGTGTTAAATAAACAGTGCATCCTTAAAACCCAAAAAGAAACTTTATGCTAAAAAATATGAAAATCTATAGTTTTCTGAATGTTACATCTTTTTCATTAGCTGATGAAGAAACAGTACAGGATGCATTTTTTTAAAAATTATTGACCTCATATTGTAAAATTTAAGTCACTGATTTAAAATGTTCAGTTAAATGTTTTACATATAAACTACTAAAACAAACAAATCTACCCTAGAAATATGCTAAAATCCCTTCACATTAATCCACAAGCCATAGCATTTAAGGTCCAGAAAGTAGCCAAATACTACTACTTCTTTTAATACAAATAAATTTGCATTAAAATGTCTTTCCAGATCACATCTCTATAATAGCAACCTCACAGGAATTCATAGCCAAGAACTCAAGGATTCAAACCAAGTCTTTTTCTACTACTTTTTTTAAATTTAGCTTTACTGCTCTTAATTTAAGCTGTTTGATACTTATAATAACTCAAAAATATTTGTTATAAAAATAAGTGAAAAACAAGGCACAAAATTATATTTGCACACTGCTCATATGATCTAAAAAACTGCCCAACGAAAAGAAATAATATCAAAATGTTAACAGTAGTTATCCTTAGGTAGTAGAATGAAGGGTGATTTTTTTAAAATTTTTCCTTGATAACAGATTTTCTTAAATTCATTAAAGAATATGTATTTTTATAATTCAGCTTTTTTAAGAAAAAGATTAAATGTATCAAGTTAAATAACTAAAAAGTAACCTCCGAATCCTCAAGCAATTACTCTCAAGTACAAGGGTAGTTTTTAAAAAACTTTTATTAGTCAATAGCTGCTCAAAATAATGGCTACAACAAATACCTTGAACTTACTTCATACAAATACAGTAACATTGTCTGTTATCATCTAAGTGGCAGTAGTAGATGCTTTCCTGCACATTGTTTCGTAAGCCTGATGGCTAACACAGAACTTACCAGTTATGGTGGAATTTACGTTTTAGAAAAAAAGTAAGTATCTCCTTAAACTAAATTCAAGATTTTTTTCTCTCCTTTACTCCTATAAAAGTAGTTATAGTCAAATTAGAATGTGTATACTGTATATAGAAATATTTAATATATCTTGGAACATAACAAAATTCAAGCCCCCTTCACCTTCAGAGAATACAGTACTAAAAATGACCCAAAAAAAACCAAACAAAAAAAACTGCTAGACAAAATGAACTCAGATATAAACTAGAAAATCAAAGAACTAGGTTATTATTCTTAGCCAATTTA